TGCAACCGTAGTGTCCAGAGGGGGGAGTTATAGTGCAGCACTTTGGTCTGTAGGTACTGCTGTGATTGGGAGTAAAAGACAAGTCTCTGCTGCAAAATTTGACAATGTAAATAGACAAGAGAAACAAGGAGTGAGAAAAAAGAAGTATTAATCCCCCAATTTTATAGATAGGAAACTGAGTCACAGAGACTCTGTTAAGTGACTTGCCCAAGAACTCAGATAGCTGTCCTAGTAAGGAATGTATTCATGGAAATCATCAAGTAGTGTGGTACAAAGATATCAGAGTTATGAATGCAAACTTGGGAAATCAAAAAATCTAGGCTAAAATTTTCAAAAGTATTCAAGTGATTTAGGAGCCTGAGTTTCATTTTCAAAACTGACTTAGGAGTCTAAATGTTTTTGAAATTCAGTGAGACTTAGGCTCTGAAGGTCCAAATTTGTGAAATCAGCGGGAGTTAGGTGCCTAAATACATTTGAGGGTGTTGGCTTACGCAATTTTGAAAATTTTACCATTGGTGAGAGTAAAATGCAATAGGAGGAAATATTCAAATCCATCAGTATGGAAGAAGCCTAGAGAAGCCTAAAGGAAGGTCTGCTCCAAATCTCAAGGAAGTGAATAAGATCTGTTGAATTTAATGGATTTTGGATCAGGGCCTAGAGGTGCAGCAGACTCCCTGAACTAGAAGAATGCAAGAAATAAAAAGGAGCCAATGCAGGTTCACAAGGGGCTTCTCAAAAGATCTGAAAATAAAATTTCAAAACCATACAGGAAATGCAAAAGGGGAATGGAAGACAAACACATTCTGTTGAAGTTTTCAGGGGGAAGATATGGACAATGGAATGAGTAAGGGCCAGATCCATCAATCCCTCAAAGCCAATGGAGTTCAAATGGGGCAGGGTTGCAAGGTCAGGCCTCTAGTGCTAGCCAAAGGAGCAAATGGGGAATAAGAAGTGTAGAAAGAAGATCCATCAGTAAATTGATGGGTAGAATGAAGATCCATCAATACATTAGAAGGATGTGTGTGTGAAATTAATAAATCAAAATGGTTAAGATATTGAATCATCTTAAAGGACACCCTGTAGCAGATAAGCTTTGGATCACATATCTGCATGTAGTCATTCAGTGTAAACTCCTCTGGGAACAGGAGAGAGGGTTACCCCAGTCATAGCTCTCTTTTGCTTTGAAAAATGGAACTTTTTGCTCAGAAAATTAGAACAAAGCTAAACATTAAAGTGGAAAGCATGAGAGCAAAATCCAGCTTTATATCCTGCTGCTGTCTTCATGATGATTTCTAACCTATTTAGTCCACTCCCAAATGTAATGAACAGTCCTGAGACTTTTGAAAAAAATATCAGGCTGTAAACTAATTATAGCCTAGAAGAGGCTCAGGCCTTGAGACTGATAGGGAAGTGCAGACAAATTCAGAGCATACTTTCACATTTAAAAGATCAGCTAAATATCTGAAATCCTAAGAAGTGGAAACTCCAGATTCAGTTAATTCAAGCACTTTTGCAGGGTTGATCCTTCACTTCTTTTGCAGGTAAGAAATTATAGGGGATTATCCTCAAGGACAATTATTTGTTTATTGTTGTTATTGTTAGTTTGCCCATTTCTGATAGCACACACCCTATGCTGTTTGCTGAACTAACATAAAGGAAGACACCATCCCTGCTCCAAAGAACTCACAATCTAAAACAGACAAAGCAAAAGAACAGCTAGCCAAAGGATAAAGGGCCAGATCCTCAGGTGGTGTAAATCAACATTGACTTCAGTGCAGCCATCTCAGTTTATGCCAGCTGAGGATTGGCCCAAAGGGGTTAAGGTAGTGACTGGCTCTCTCTTGCTAATACAGTGTTTTTGGGAGATGTATAAGATACTGAGAGCCATTGATTTCAGTGATGTTACACCAGCAGAGAATTTAGTTCATAGTCTATCCCCTTTACCCCTCAACCTGTCATTATTAGTTGGGTAGATTCTTATAGACATCATAGTTTTTAGGAACATGGAGAATTTAGAGACTGTTGAAGACTGGTTGGAAATGGTTTGCCCATCATGGGAAAATATTCAAGATTTGAACATTTTTTCCCCATCCAAAATTGGGACAAAGAGTCAAAAAGCTCAAAAATGTTCACAAAGCAACAAACCAAAAAAAATGTGTTTTGTTTCAATCTATTTAAATATTTTGTTTCAAAATTCAAAAGTTTTGGTCAACCATTTTTCATATTTTTAAAAATATAATTGACTTAAATTTCAAAATTAAAAGTATTTTCAAACCAGGAAACCAAAATTTTTCATTTAGAAGATGTCAAAATGGTACATGTTGACAATTTCAGACTCCCGCCACCCCCCAGCCCTTCACTGTGAACAATTTTAGTTTGGTGAATCGACATTTTTCGAGAGGCAGAAGTCTCACTGAAAAATTCCCAACCAGCTCTAGTGGCCATGCAGTCCAGCTCAGGAAGGGCAATCCATGCATAGTGGGACAGAAACTGTTGCAAGGAAAACAGACCAAGAGCATGCTGAGGATGGTATTGTTGGTACCACATTCCTAAAGCCTATTTTTCAAAATAGCCTCATCGCAGGCTTGTCTCCGAAGAATTTTTAGGTTACTTAATTTTGTAGCCATCAACATTCAGGGTGCGAAATCACAAGCAGCAAATAAACAAAATATTTTCATAGATTTGAGCCCAAAAAAATCCCAAACTATCAGTTGAACCCAGCTTTATTTGGTAATGATTCCCTTGGAAGCTGGAAGTTTTAGACAGTGCCTACAGAGAGGCAGTGTGGTTCCGTTGTTAGGGCACTTGTCTGGTAGTCAGAGGAAGTAGGTTCTTGTCTTTGTTCTGTCATTGGCTCACTATGTGGCCTTGGGAAGTCACTCAGGGCTTGTCTACGCTGCTGCTTAGGTCGATGTAACTTGTGTCCTCAGGGGTGCGAAAAAGCTACCTCCCTGAGTGACATAAGTGAGACTGACTTAAAGCGGTGTCTACACTGTGCTATATCAGTGGGAAATGCTCTCCTGCCAACATAGCTTCCGCCTCTTGTTGAGGTGGACTAATTAAGCCAATGGGAGAGCGTTGTCCCGTCAGCATAGTGCATTTTCACCAGACACACTGCAGCTGCACCGATGTAGCGCAGTAGTGAAGATAAGCCCTTAGCCTCTGCGTGCCTTAGTTATCCCACCTTGAAAATTGTATAATTATACTTATCTTTCTTATCTGAGGGGTAGCCGTGTTAGTCTGGATCTGTAAAAAGCAACAAAGAGTCCTGTGGCACCTTATAGACTAACAGATGTATTGGAGCATAAGCTTTCGTGGGTGAATACCCACTTCATCAGACGCATGTTATCTTTCTTGTAAGTGCTCTGAGAGCTTTAAGTAAAAGGCACTATAAGTGAGGTTTGATTCACTTCCGATTAAAACCAATGTAAATCCGGAGTAAATCCACCGAAGTCAATGAAATTACACTACGGTAAGTGGGAGCCATACAAGTGTTATATTATCTGAGTTGAAATCTGCCATGAGAAGAGAATTTTTTCCAATATTTTCAAAGTCTAATGTTGTGTTCATAGAACAGACACAAATGCCTAATTCATATAAATGCCAACACCTGTTTTGTAGCCCCTGATGCTCCATATACCCACTGGAAGCAAACTGTCTTCTACTTAGAGGACTACCTAACTGTGAGAAGAGGTGAAGAAATCTATGGAACTATATCAATGAAACCAAATGCAAAAAATGTGGTAGGTTGGCTTCATTGGTTCTAACTTGTGGCTGTAATGCTAGATGTACCATACACAAGAGTAAATAGAGTGAGCCTGTTAAAGGGTCTGAACTCATGATTAGTCACAGGAAGTCTGTTCACAACTTCACTGAAACTGGATGCAAATAACTATGTTTATACAATGCTAATGTTGCACTGTTAAAATTGCAAAAAAATCAGGATGGGGGGAAAAAAGAAAGGTTCCAAATGCAGTGTTAAGTCAGTTGTACAGTGTATCCTGTATGTTTTATGGCTCTCACTTTGTGACATAAGCAGGAAGGCCATGTTTCTGCTGCCGTTGAAATCAGTGATAAAATTCCCATTGCTTTCAATGGTGGGTGATCAGGCATAATTACTTCAGTTATGCATTTTGGGACATAATTTCAAAAGAACCGAGCATCTGGCAGCTCCCAATTGGGCACCTAGGTAAGGGGTTACACATTTCATATGCACTCCGCTCATGTATGGGTCCCATTTTTCTCAATGACAGCTGCTGGCTGCTGAGTACTTTTGTAATTCTCCCATCTCACCTGGGTGCTAAACTGGTAGCTGAGCTTTGTTTGAAAATCTGGCCCCAGTTGTGGATGCTGAACTCTTTTGAAAATGTGACCCTTACAGCCTAATCCAAAAAAGAGTGAAGGGACTGGAAAGATTCCCATTGACTTCAGTGGGCATTGGGCTAGTCCATGATAGGGCGGGCCAAAAACTTTCCATCAAAACTATTTTTGATGGAAAATTGGAATTTCATTTGGAAGTGGATTAAGCTAAATTGGGGGAAAAGACACTCTTATTCCAGAATAAATGTCTCCACATAGGGGTTTATAACTTTTCTAGAATAGTTATTCCAGAACAGCTATTTTGGTAAATTTCCAACAAGCCTATAAAGAAACCTCTGAGAAGAATGTACAAAGCTTCCACTGTTGTAGATTACCCAATGAATGCTGTTGGGCCGTTTATTCTCATACTTCATTGGTAAAAAGAACACTTTTGCATGTCTTTCTGAGTCTGCACTCTTTCTTAGGCTGAGTAAAAATAATCAAATTTGCACACAAAACTACTTATAGTCTTACTTACATGTTACGTCTAAATCTTCATTACAGCGTGACCTGGATTTCACAGTAGACTTGGATTTTAAAGGACAGCTGTGCGAAACGTCTGTATCTAATGACTACAAAATGCGCTAGCAAAAGAACCTCTTGAGAGACAGAGAGAAGAATTGCATCAAATCTTGATCCACTGCACTTCAAGCTAAAAACAATTGTTTGCAGGTCTATTACATTAGACCCTAGAAAGTGTACTCTGGTGGAAAGTTGGTAACCTGATCGTTCCTGTTGGTGCCACATGGAGATGGGATCCTGCTATGAATGTACAGTATACAGAACCATAACTTTTGTCAATTATATAGGCAAAATAAGCAAACAGTCTTCAGTACTCTGGTTAATTTTAGGATGGCAGAAGATGCATAATCAAATTGTACTATTTACTGTGAATTTCTGGTTCTTCCAAGCTTTGCATGCTACAGGCAATTAGGACAATTACTTTAAAATAGAAGACCACTGAGACACATCATCATGATAGCATTACTGAGATCGTAGTCAGTCTAAATATATTATAAATATAAAATATGTTGTACATGAGAAGGATTCTATTGCTTCATAATAGGAATTTGTTTTGTGATTATTTTTTTCTTCCCATTAAGCAACAATAGAAAGTTAGCTGTACTGGCTCTGATGTTAATCTAGCTAGGCAGATGCTCCAGTTGTCATTCACTGCCCTCCACTGTAGCTTTGGGGAATATTACATATTGATTGTTAGTGTGAGCTAGAAGATAACAGAAAATCAGCAGCTATATTTTAGAGTATCAGTTGGAAAACATACATCTCTAACTTTCAGTATTGATTTCTGTCCCATTCACAGATTGACATCTGTCAGTTATTTAGAAAACAAGTTTAACTTTTCATCATTTGGGAACATTTTGTGATGAATTGTTATAGCTGGATTTTGCATGACACCGTCTTAAATTTGGCATACAGTATTTGAATATGATGAGTGCAAAACCTATAAAATGGTAGATTAGTCATGCTTTGTTGGCCACGTCACATCTCAGTTTACCCCTCAGCAACCATCTTAATACAAAATCATTTTAGTTCTGAATAAACAGGGGGTTGGTATTTACTTTTTTGGTGGTGTTGGACAGGTCACTTTAAAGTGCAAATATTAGTCTCAAAAGTGCAGTGATTACCTTTGCTGAAATGGGGTAATGTTTATTTAAAAAAATCTGTGGCTTCTGTATTATGAAGATGTCTGTAGCTTTTTCCCCCCTTCCACTTATTATTTTACTTTAAATATATTCAGCTTATAGTTAAAATATTAACTGTTTATATTCCTTGAGATGTATGTATCAATTTTTTTTACTATATATAAATATTGGGCATTTACTCACATGTAATTTATTAAATTGTTGCATCATCGTCTTCATCTGTATGTCTTCCAGCCACCAAAGGTATTAGGCACAAAAAGATGTTCTTGTCATGTACTGGATAAAATTGACTAGCTTTCTGTCTGAGATAATTTCTTTATCAGCTGCAAATGAAACAGGCTAGAAGTTGTGAAAAGCTAACAGTGCTGAAGGTGTAAACTTGTCTGTAAGCTTTTCTTAGGTTCCTGTTTTGTCAGTGTAACGATTGTCTGCTTTTAACCTTTTAGATATGTTTCTATTGTTTTTCACTTCATCTGAGAGATGTACAGTACTTCCATTTTCTTATGGTCTAAAGATTATGGTCTTGGGATCATGGTACATGGTATCTGTGTAGAATGAAATTAAACTGTAATTTGGCAGTAAAACAAATTGTTCACTCTGCAGTTAATTATGATTCCTTTAAAGCTATTTTTACTGTTTCTTTGAGCCAGATGCTGCTGTCTTTACTCACCCTGAATTGTATTGTAATAGGATGGCCTGCCCCTTTTAGGACCAAGAGGTTTGGGAAGCAGCCTGCCTGATTCTGGAGAGGAGTCCAAATCATCCGACTCATCTGGGCAGCATCAGGTGATTAGGTTTGATGAATCCTAGCTAGGTGATATAGATGTGGGTCTCAGCTCCATGAGGGAGTTTGGGACCAGGAGAGAGCTGGAAGAACATTTCCTGAAACTGCAGCAGAGGACTGTGAGGTCCTGAGAGGCCCTGTGAATGCCTGTAGCCTGGGTGGAGGCTTTGACTACTAAACTGCCAGAGATTAGGGGGTTGGCAACAGGACTGTCACTTTATGTTTTCACTCCATATTTCCTTTTTTTTTGTTGGACAATAAACAGAGCCCTGAGGCCAGGGCTATGAACTGATGTGGGTATGGCCAATTATTTTCCCCAGGTTGGTTATCGAGTCCACCAGCATATGGAACCTTACTCCTCAAAGAGTCCTATCTGTTTAAGTGGGACTATTAATGGAGTCAGGTACTTCTGAAGGTGAGGAAAGAGATCAGAATCTGTCCCTGTTTCCCCAATGTATATTGGGATGCACCTACTATTTCACAAGTAACCACTGTGCTGACTACAATTGACCAGGAAAATATTTGCTCAGATTTTTTACTTTGTGCATTTGACAGCATTTTGGCCCAGATTCTCAAAGGAGTTTAGAGGCCTGACTCCCTTTGATTTCAATGGGAGTTAGGCACCTAAATACCTTTGAGGATTTGGGCCTTTGAGTATAGTCATCTGCGCCTGCTGTTTGTGGTGGGTTTTCAGACAGCAACAGAAGAAAGCAAAAACTTTTTTTAAAATAGGAAAACCACAAAAATTGACAGGAGAATTCACAAGCAGACATTGGACCTGAAGCTATTTTATTATTCATTTTTTGAAATTGACTAGGATTCACATTGTTGGTGTTGCTAATAACATTTTAATCCACTGATAAAAAAATTTCAGCGTTCATTCAATATGTGACATTGCCATTTGGCAGAACATATTGGAACAGAAATAGCTGGGAAGACTTAATCATAGCCACGCCATTAACCAGTGCTCAAAATGGAATTTAAAAAGTGATGTATGCTCCCCTTTCAGCCCACCTTCTTCAGCTAGCAGCAGTGAAATGTGTGTCGCTATTCAAGCATTGCTATGACAGGAAGGCTTGCTACTGCTCCCACTTAAGTCAATGGCAAAATTCCCATTCACTCCAACATCTCAAGATTAGGCCTTTAATGATTTTTGTGACAGACCCAGACCAGTGGGGTACAGGAATCTGGTAGAGGGCAAATATACTGGTCACTGGATGAGTAGTTTTCTGTTCCCCCTAGTGACCAGAGCAGGGGCTGCACTAGAGTAATCAGGAACCTGCTAGAACCAGTTAAAGCAGGCATGCTAATTAGGACACCTGGAGACAATTAAGAAGAAGCTGCTAGAATCAATTAAGGCAGGCTAATCAGGGCACCTGAGTTTTAAAAGGAGCTCACTTCAGTTTGTGGTGTGAGTGTGAGGAGCTGGGAGCAAGAGGCACAAGGAGCTGAGAGTGAGAGGGTGTGCTGCTGGAGGACTGAGGAGCACAAGCGTTATCAGACACCAGGAGGAAGGTCCTGTGGTGAGAATAAGGAAGGTGTTTGGAGGAGGCCATGGGGAAGTAGCCCAGGGAGTTGTAGCTGTCATGCAGCTGTTACAGGAGGCACTATAGACAGCTGCAGTCCACAGGGCCCTGGGCTGGAACCCGGAGTAGAGGGCGGGCCCGGGTTCCCCCCAAACCTCCCAATTGACCTGGACTGTGGGTTCTTCCAGAGGGGAAGGTCTCTGGGCTGTTTCCCAACCCACATGGTGAATCTCTGAGGCAAGAAAATCTGCCAATAAGCGCAGGACCCACCAAGATAGAGGAGGAACTTTGTCACATTTTCTTATCCAGTAATGGCAAATGTCTAGAGGGTGATGGTCAGGATCCCACTAAACTGATCTGGGCTACTGGTATGCTCTTTTCCCCAAAAAGGCACATTAAGAGTACTATGCATTTATGGCCCAATTCTTCAGAATGCTGAGAACCTCCCATGAAGTGCTGAGCATTCTCAACTCACAACGAATAAAAAGAAAGTTGAGGGCACCTAGCACTTTGCAAGTAGTGTTCATCACTTTGGAAGACTGGGTCTTGCATATGGCATCTTCCATCAGAGGGTCTTATTGTGCTCTACAAACACCAATTAATTTACCTGTCCTATGAGGTCAGTATTATTATTATTCCAATTATATTCAAAATTTCTAATATAAACAGAAAAATATGACTAACAGAAATTGGAGGGAGGACTGCCAGAAGAGGAAGGAGATATGGAAGAATGTGACCACAAGGACAAAGCAGAGGAAGAGACCAGCAAGTAGTGGTAAAATTGAATTGAGTAACAGATTTATTGTACTGGGGAATGAGAAGGAGAAACAGGCAGAGGATGGGGTGGCAAGGAAGAAAAGAAGAGAAGCCAGTCCCTGCAGGAGAGAGGAAGAAATGATAGAGATAGCCAGGCACCAGAGCCTAAGGAAAAATGAGGATGGGACTGTGAGAAAGAACATAAAACAGATTTATAGCAACATCAGGAAGAGTCGGGTCTGGGTGATCGGGGACTCCATATTCAAATGAATCAACAAGCCTATCACCAGACCAGGTCCAGAGAACAGCAGAGTCTGCTGTCTGCCAGGAGCAAGGACACAAGATGTGGATCTGAGGCCAAAGAGGATCCTGATGGGCATGGGCAAAAATCCCCTGATTGTGCTGTATGTTGGGATGAATGACTGTCCTGCTGGACTCCCATTGGAATGGATCCAGGATGACTACGCTCAGTTAGGTGAGATGCTTAAAGAAGTGGAAGCTCACATGATTTTCCGCAGAATACTCCCAGTCCCTAGAGAAGCTGGGCAAAGGCATAACAAATGAATAGTTGGTTCAAAGATTGGTGCTATGAGGAAGGTTTTGGGATGAACGATCACTGGGAGACATTTAAGGAAAGAAGACTCTTCTTGACTGATCTACTCTACTTGATTATCTGGGGTATTAACCTTCTGGGATAAAAGTTGGCACAACTGATAAGAAGGTCTTTAAACTAGCAGATGAGGGGAGTAGGTTGGGAGAGACTTGTGAAATCTCCACACCTGGCTTCAATACACAGGTTCAGGAAAATCAGCTAAAGGAAGATACAGTAAGGGATAATGGAATATCACAAGCTAGAAA